ATGGGAGTGTTATAAAGACCACATTAAAAAGGAGCCATTGCAGCCTGATCCGCAGTTCACCAGGAGCATAGAGGAAGCCAGAGGCCTGCCTCTAGAGTTAACCTGCCCGGATTTTACATCGTGGGTTATTTTATGCATACATATCCTCTCTAGAGTCTTTCTAAGTCCCATTAAACGTCCATAGATGACTGCTTCTTGTTGGTAAGTTCCTATGCGCCAGTGAGGGTGACCGATTTCAATTTTCCTTAACAGACTGGTGTTGGTCTGAAGGTCACACATGCTGAGGTCACCGAACCGTTCGAGGCAGCCTAACTTGCAATCTTCAGTTAATTTGCAACTTAAACAGCTCTGAAAACTCGAAGACTGTAGGATTTCGGGACGTTAAACTTTTAGATTGATGTGGACATGCTTATTCGTCTCCGGGACTTATAGTACATTAGAAATCTTAAGGATTTACCGGAGAAACCTTATGCAGAAATGCAGTTTAGAGCTCTCTAACACGAGTAATTATGCTTCGGAAGCTTTGGACCAGAACTTGTATTAAGACAGAGCATGGGAACAGAACCCACTCGTAAGGCAGGTTGATTTTCGTTAAGTTGGAATAAGAATCAAGGTGAGATTTAGAATCAGAGTTCAATTAACGTTAGACTTCGATGTAGTGTTTGGGTTATAACCAGAGTTAACGTGACATAAGAGCTAGCTTTAAAGCTATTATGAGGGTTAATGGAGGGGATTAGAGTAAAGATTAGAGGTACGGTTAAGGTTTGGGTTAGGGGTAGCCATTATACTCGTTGATGAACATCCACCCGGCCGCAAACGGATCCCACATGCCCAGTTCTGCCTTGGGACTTGACAGAGGCCCTGACAGCTGGTAGTATAGGCAGATAATATTGCCGGCAAAGACAAAGGAGATTGGAATGGACATTTCCGGCTTATTATCCGTCGTCAGTCAGTCATACCCGGAACAAATTGGTGTCAAAACTAAGCCTCGAACTCGCGACCTTTTGAACAGAGAAAAACGCCCTAACCATTGTGCCACGAGCTCGTTGTCTTGCCAGTTTAGGTCGAGGAATATTGACACTCGTTAATTAACTTTCACCCAAACGGCTTATAAGCCAAAAATGGCCATTCTAGTTTCCCTTGTCTTTGCAGCAATATTATCTGCCTATAACAGTAGCGTTATGGTTAGGCTGCGGGAATTTTTTTCTAGAAGTTACCGCAAGGCCACTGGTATTATGTATGGCATAGTCCTATTTCCGTGTCATGTCGCGATGGGACCAACTGAACAATTCCGACATAGCACATTTACGTCAACATTTAAATTTCTCTGCGGGATCTTCTTTCAACTCCATCGCATTCACTTATATCCCTCAATACTCTTCGAAAGACAAACAAAACGTGCCAACTTCCAATCGCAACCAAGTCCTTTCCCGATTTTTTTGACATCTATGAGGATCATTTACTCTTGGTCCACTTCCTACATACCTCCTTAGTTGGGGTAAACTACTGAAAAAGCAAACTGACGTTTTTGAACCTGCACGCCCATGGCAGTATTCTGCACTTCATCCGCCGACATTTGAGCCCATAGAGTCTTCGTCATGTGGATTGTTTCCTGCAAAAACTACTTCCCCCTAAGTTACTTATGCAGACTAGTCTTCTTCGATGACTGAACGGGAAAACTACACCATTAACGGATAGTATTGTCCTATAATACTGACTGTATCGTAACTAGTGTTTACTCCTTCTGAAAGATCGCATTTTAAACGTTCACCCGACAGCGTAGATAGAAAACGAACAAGAGGAGAGCCGAGGGAATCTTCACTACTCTGTCTCCTGCCTCGCACATAGTAATCTATTTACTCTCTCCTCTATTTCCGTTAAGCGTCGAATGCCGAATTCACCCATGTTCAGACTCACAAGTAGGCCTCTTCTCGGGGTCTCCTACTCCTCCCTAGGTGTTCTCATCAGTTTTCACAGACAAGTTTTAAAGTTCTGAGTTATCTAATTTTCGATACATGGCCTGCTTGTAAAAACACGATTTCCAGTTTTTATTCTGGAATTACTAAACAAACTTCCAACATATTATATAGTTATTTGGAAGGAGAGTGGTCTTAATAAAAAGAAAGTCGATGGCTTACCCTGCGGTCGTAGTACTGTGTACCAAACATGATGTCTCCCTTTGTTCAGGGTTCTGAAAATTAAGATTATAGAGATAAGACAAATACAGAACCTCTAGAAGTAAAGGAAAACACATGCAAGTGCGTCAGAACAGTTACTTCTGACATTTGGTTTAGGTGTATTAGTTTTATGGTGGTCTGTAGCATCCCAAAGCACCAATAATGTCGGGAGGAAACGTGAACCTCTTAAAGCACTGGCTTACGTCGAAGAATGCTAAGCAAAACTAACGGGTGCTTGCCTCTTAGGGGCTAGCGAGCTGACCTCCCTCCAACAAAAGAACGTATGATTAATTTTCGAAAAAACTATGCAAAGGTGAAGGGTGCATGCTCTGATCGCAAGGGGTGTCGACAACCGTCCTCCTA